AAAGCTGATCACCAGGATTGTCGGACGAAACGTTGACATTGTTGGCGAACGCTGTTCTTCGTTGTAATTTTCTACTCCCAACCAATACTTATATCCCAACTAACTACACCTCTTTGGGAAGATCTAGTAACCATTCTAAATTATTTCAGCTACGAGTCGAGGATACCACCGACAAGTACCGGGCCAATCTTACGTTGAAAGCGCAGCATCATTCACACTTTTTATAGAACCCCCTATTAGAAGGAAATAAATACCTCAGAGAATCTGGGCTCCATACACCGCCAAGACATATATTGTGAACGGCATCAATCGACCTAAAAGGCAATTAATGCTGTTCATCAAAAATTAAATCCCTTTGTCTGTATTTGACTAACCTGTAAGATCCATTCTCTTTTAACGACAATGCCGTCATTATAAACGCAGTCCTGAGCTATAATAAAAACCCCATCCTCCCCCGTCCATTTCATTACAAATCCCGATGACCAACAACCTTCCAAAATAATAATATACACCTTCGGCGAACGCACCGAATATGCTTTCAGGACTCCACCAATTATCTTCCCTAAACTCTCCTCGTAACTGTTGAGCTACCGAGACATACCTTTATTTAGTTAGTTTACTATACGGACTCTTACATAACACGTACCACTTTTCGTCGCTCGTTTGCCACCTGTACACTTCAGTCGTGTTATCCACAACTGAAGTGTAAGTCACTCGTTACATATATATTATTTATCTTACTGACATACCAGTAGTATAAACTCTTTTTATTAGGTATTACCTACGTTAGTTAGTCATGTTATCCACAACTGAAGTTATACACTTCTCTTATTAGATTCTCGTCACTCTCGTAACACAACCGGCCAACTGCCTCCACAGTAACCTCTATACGCATTCGTCGACACTAAATATACGAAACCTCTTCACCTCTTCCACTCCTCCCTAACACATCCAAATCAAAAATGCTTCCACGACCCCAAGCCGAAAACCGCATCCTCGCCCATTTACTCAGCAGGGTGCGAAATTTATTATGTATCAGGTACTTTTCCTTTCACCTATTTTGCAAACAAATATAATTATCCCTTTCCAACCACACTGGAGCCGGAAATGGAACACAATGGTGAACTATTACAATCTAATGGCAGAATACCAAGAAGGGGACGGAATATGAATCTTGGGTACTGTGTGCGCATCCACGCTACTCTCCATCTGCAAGTTCTGAAAATAATTTCATAAGATTTGGAAAAGGCGCAATCTTCGCACAATAAGTACCTCCTCCCTATTCCTACCAAACCTAAAACTATCCCATCATCATTGTAAATAAGTCTAGCACAAATTCCTTTCTTTTCATCTCATTGCTGCTTAGGTTTCAAATACACTATTCTTTCCCGTCTCTGAATGTTCTCGAGAAATAGAATGGACAGATTACTTCGAGTAACAGGTTGATGAAATTCGGCGGGCTGTGCGTGGAACTCAACTATGAGAAGGAGAGAAAACTTAAGAGACGAAAAGGACGGAATAGGAGAGTACAAATTTGACTAGAATAAGCAGGGTATAATCCAGGACGATGAGCACATAATCAATAGAGCCGAATGACAAAGGGCGATAAATCATAGTAAATACTAGACCAACTATAACTTAGACGAGTTTTTTACCCCCTCTTTCCACTTGTGCCCCTTTCGGATCACCATTCTCCAATCCCACGAGCATTCAACCTCTGTCAAGAACGCGGAGGAACATTCAGTTTAAATCGCTCTTATAACTGTAGCGGTGGTAGTGGTGGTGTAGGAATTGGACATGGGTGGTGAACGAGGGAGGGCAGGAATATAGAGCTGTCTGGATATGCCCTCTGTATATGAGGACCGAAGAAATCACGACGCGCTCGCCTCCCCGCGAGTTCTCCTTGACAATATTGGTTTCCAAAGGCACATAACACTCTGGGCCTCTGCATTCATCTGGCACATTACGTACGAATCCATCGAGTCCGTTCACCCCACTGAAAACTAACATCAGCATCACTACCCCGTCCACCTCGCACACACATACTTGCACGTCCCGAAATATCCCCACGAATTGCCGGATGATAGAGTACAGACACAGTTGCGGCGGTAGTACACGCTCATGGGTAACTCAAAGCTTCCGTGATTTCATGAAACCGAATAATTAACATATACTGTATATCTTTCCCAGCAACAGCAAAAAGAGAGGACGACGTCCGTTCCTGTTTATAACTACACATCAGCATCAGTCCCCGATCAATGAAAATGTTCATCCTGATTGGTGGCTATATATACATGAGTCAGTCCAAAGATACTACTACCAATCTATCTATCAGCCTATTCTCCGTCGCCCTTTCATGGACATGTGTGTATCGATCAACCTTATCTTATTCCATGCTTCATTCAGTAAATTCTGTCTAATCGCGGCGAAGGATAGTGAGTGACCTTACGTCTAGACTCCAGCCTCTATGTCACTGAGATTATTCGAGCAATTTCGATACCCTCATCAAATCAAGACCACAGAATTACCGGAGCCAAGGCATCATCTATCAACTCCCTATCATCGCAAGATTACAATACTTCTCTCAGGACTTATAGTTACATAACTTCCTACTTAGTTATTTTTAGATTCTATGACGCCTTTTCCCATCTGCATTCCACCATTCTCTTCGCGTGTATCGCTCTTCGCTTCAAGGCCACTGTTCACGGTTCTTCTTCTGATATATTGTGTTGTGTCTTCTGATACCTTTGCGTCCTTGAAGAACGGAAAGAATACCGCTCGCCTGGGTACATCAAAGAGCTCGAGAAATTCAATCTGCTGTGGTTCGACCAGTCCATCGACCAAGGAGAAAATTGATAAAGATTCCACTCGACTAAATATTATATTGACCTAATTATTGTCTTAAATTCTTTTCAAAAGCAACTTGGGTCGCTTCTTGGTGTTATCTCCTGATTTTATCAACTTTGCGGCTCGCACCTATCACAGCTATGATTTTTCGACTATATCACTTGCACGGCTTGCGAACAACTTCTTCCTGATGATAGCCACTCGGAACCATCTCATCAATGATATCATCGCCGCAATCGTGTTACACATCATATGCTTTGCGTCGATTGAACCACATGTCTCGATGCTGGCCTCCTATAAAGCGCGTCTACTAGATGCACACATCCCACATCTCCCACATCTTAAGTTTCAAATATAGTGATGTCGAATTTCCCAATCTCCCAGGCTCGGATGGTGGCATTCTTCGCCGAAAACATCATCTACGGATTATACCTAGTCACCTTGGGATACACAATAGGAGCTCTCTTCTCCACCGGTACGCGATGGCGACATATCCGCGAGCTCAATTACGGCATGGTAGTGGTCACATTCATCATGTTCGTGAACACCACTGTGGGGTTGGTAACCGGATTTTTGGTGATCTGGCAAGGGTTTCTTGTACCTCTTGAAGCAGGAGGCGGCCTAGCGAGTTTCACCGATATATCGGATTGGAGGCCTGTTTTAAAGGTGCATATTTATTCTTTTATATCCTCTCCTTGGCTCAAGAATTTCATCGTAGAGCTCAGTGCTGCTCTATCAAACGATGGTTGGAGATGCAATGCTAGTATGTACCATTAATATGCAATTGATGACGAAATATTCAAAGAATCCCCCAGATATACCGTTGCTGGGCTTTAAACAACCGCTCATTCCGAAGGATCGCCTTTTCATTTGGAATGTGGTGTGGCGGCACAGTCTGCGCTGTCTTCCTCATCTATTACATGGCCACCCTACACTCACATGAACTCGTGAGCTCCGAAAAACTACATCCATTTGGGGTAGCGTTTTGGGTATTAACAGTCGCGCTCAATATCGTTACAACTGGCAAGTTAGATCTTTAAGTCGCATAAAATATGCGTATATGCGTCTTAAGCTGAAAGTTGAGTTATTTACAGCACTTCTCATATGGCCGATATGGCAAGTCATCAAAGAGAATGAAGAATTTGGATACCAAAGCCGTACTTCCCACCGCCCCAACCTACTCCGAAACGTCATGCGAGTAATCGTCGAGTCAGGACTTCTGTACACCACTATGGCGTTCATGACCTGTGTGGCGTATACATCTAATAGTAACGTCCTATATTTTTTTGCAAGCTCGGTATGTCTTTCATGATCAGTTTGAAATCATCGTTAATACAGCCTGCGTATTCAAAAACCAGGAGGTGGGAGTTGCAGGCATCGCATTCAACCTCATCATAATCCGCACTGCGAAGGCTGCGCGAGGGAAGGAGATTGTTCTGTCCCCTGCGGGAGAGAGCAGACCCGAAGTTTCACTACCAATGAATTTCATACGTCCTCAGCGAGATGTGACGGTATTTTCAGACCATAAAGCTCAACAGCTACAAGTTATTATCTCGCAGGGTACGACAGAGGACAGCTTGAGAGAAAGCACAACTCAACACAAACAATAGTCTAATCTCCTGTAAGTCGTAGTAATAAGTTACATCATGCTTTGTATAAAGAACACTTAATTCTGCCGAATGTCAATCAAAATCAAAACAGGATCTACAGGGCATATTTTCTATTAGGCTCCGACCGTCTGGTTTATTTACCATTTAGTGCTTTCGTTTAGTTTGCGAGACCCTGGAAATAGCAACTTAAAAAATGGTATAAAAACGGTAAAAACTACGCCGGGATTATTGCCACTTCGGTGCTAATATTTCTTCAGTTACTATGCGATTGATGAGTCGCATTCCTCATCCAGGCCAGCTTATATTTGGCACAAGAATACGAGTAGCCAGTTTGACTGAGATCTGAGCCGAAGCTGCAGTGCATCGGAGAAATCTTATTCTTCTCCTACCATTTACTACCATTTAAAGCAGTTTGTAACTGCTTTCGTTTAGTTTTGCGACTGCGGATCTGTAAACGAAAACTAAATAGTTGGCGCCTTTTACTCATTGCTCAGAGGCATAAGTACCTAGTAAAAACGAATATAAAGATGGTGCAATTCTTGTCTGTCCCAGAGAGACTTGAACTCTCGATCTTCCGATCCCGTAGCCATTAAATGATAACAGTCGGACGCCGTAACCAACTAAGCCATGAGACACATGTGTTGCTTTTGAATTTGAAAACTAGTACTATTTATCGGATGTTGTCTGAAGATATAATGTTTATATATAACACCAAGCACGGCTTTCAAGAAGCAGGGATGGTACTAAATGGACTTCAAATTGTCGCACAGGCCCTCTATTGCCGTGGCACAAAATGGACAGTGAGAGAATGTTGAATACAGAATGCCGAAGACAAGCAGATAAAACTAGGAGGATTATATTACTTTTGGTTTATGGTATAATGTTAAGGTATGCTTCAACCGAAGGTGGCTGGAACAGGCAACTGAACGGGAGCAGGACAGGAGTCAATTCATGGAAGTCGCAGTTGGGGAACGCTTCTGGGAGCTTGGGACGGTTCCCACGAATAGTGCCCACCCGAGCTCCGGCTTTCGGGCCGTTGCAACTAAAACTTTGTCTCATCGCTAAATGCCGAGTCTGTTGCCTTCCTCAAGATCACTTCCACTCACCACATCCACCCTGGCCTGTCCCCTACCATAACCCGCAAATTCATAACCATAGACCCGTGTTGTGCAAAACACTGGCTCGTCATAAATGCTACATTGAAATGGTTTGAACTATGCTCTAGACCAGTACATAAGTTTCGCTGTCTAACCTCGACTAACCTTTTCTATTCATTTATCCGCCAATCTGCTCTCTTCACGTTTACGAGACGCGCCAAGCATACACACAATATCGAGCCTCTCCCAGCTGGCCTGTTCTCTATCACGACTGATGGCGCCTGTCTTCGAAGGAGCTCTAGCTCGGGCACGAAGAAGATCTACCTTACTCGCAGAAGTTGTGCTACTTCCCTCGTAAAGAATATATAATTTACTCATCGACGATTCCTTTTAAGACTTTCAAACTGAGATTATACTGCTAATAAACAGGCTAGTGATTTGAAGTAGGCGATAGAGGCTTAGCTAGGGTGGTGGAACGTGGTACTCTATCCCACTCGGCTCTCTTGAACCCCTTCGTCTACGTTAAGAGAAGGTGTTCAGTTAGTTTTGAAAACGGTGGATACGATCACAGCGCTGCTGTGCAAGGATTCCTCTGTGTGAGGATCATTAGAGAGCATTTACGAAGGTACTTCTCAAATCCCCCTTGCTGCCCACTCCATTCGACGATTGACTTGGTCTCCCTAGCTCGCAGACTGCCGATGATAGCTCCGATCATGCAGGCTACAGCTCACCCATCTAGCCAAGAGAGGAAATCGCGTGTCCAGTTATCTGATACCTTATCTGACAATGCATATAGTCTTGTCCACTGCCAAATCCATACGCAAGGAGTTGAATATCTTGTACCGGGCGCATGTTTGGGAACTGCAAGTACACTCCACGCATGACAGGCTACAGCTTATATTTAAAATTTTACTCAATATGCGAAGGCGCTTGGCTCTTGAGCGCCATTTCTTGCTCTGAGATACGACGAATGCATAGGAGTTTGACAATTCGGTTCAACCCGTAAGACACTCAAATAACTCTCCCACCCAGCTGACATTGAAAATGTCACATCGATTTATCTTGCGTATAACAATGTTTCTTGCGGTGATTTATGTTAATTGTGATGATGGCATTGATTCAGCTGGCGATAGCACGTACCTTCCGCCATCATCGATTCTTATTCAACGTCGCCACTTCAGCAGCCGTTCATACTACATGTCAGCTTGCTACTTAAATTCACACTCCAAAGTAATTGATGTGTACCCCCCGGCGCGTACTCGATATCACTAGCAAGCATACATTTTCCTATTACTATTCACGTATGTAGAGCTTTAACGGGATGGAACGCAGAGTCGATGGTGAACCGACTGCGGGAATATGTATGATGGATGGTTGGCACTTCATAGAAGCCAAGACAAAGTCGCTTGTATACCCGCACCACAGCTCTCTTTGATCTGGCACCCAGGCTGTATTATATCAAATCGTATTGACATCGCAAAGAAGTGCATTTACAAATCATTCAAGATTGGACGGGCTGTCGATTTCTTGTATTATTTTCAGGTGTCAACAACCATCTGTCAATATTATTCGCGTAGTCCTTGCAATCACACAACACCTCGGTTATCTTCGTCATGGCTGGTTATTTTTATTTCGTACATATGTCATCCGCACGGCACCACACATCGACTTCAATTTCTCGTTGTCTCGAGGGCAGACTTTAGCTGTTCTCTAATGCTATGTTCCAGCCCAATATCAGTGATCTTCCGCTGTAAAAATGAAATAGTCGTGTCTGCGATAACTGTATCGAGTTATACAACAATTCTTCAACCCGGACAACTTCTTCCCTGCAATAACCACCCCGAAATCATCCCGTCAACAATTTATCATTGACATTTTCTATGTGTTAATACGAACTGATTTGAGGATCAGCTGTGTGGGCGTTGGAAACCCGGCACATATAAAGCCGGCTGCTGGTTAGCACCAACCCGTCCTCTACTTTCACCACACTGATCATGGCGGACCAGAAGTTCTCAATTGCACAGGCTCGAATGGCGGAGGTTCTCGTGGAGAGCATCACCTACGGAATGTATTTAGTCAGTTTCGGCTATACAGTCCGCACTCTGTTGTGGACTAGCAAAAGATGGAGGCGTCTCAATGAGATAAATTACTGGATGATGCTGGTGTCGTTTGTTATGTTTCTTAATGCAACCATAGCTGTTGCGTCCATCTTTTGCATGTCTTGGCGGGCATTCGTTACTCCTCCTGAAGCGGGCGGAGGGATTTCGAGTTTCGCTGATATATCAGACCGGTGTTCCGTCGCGGAAGTGAGCAACATTTTATTCGTCTGTATAGGAATTAAATCTCTTACTGATGGACTGGGCTCTAGACCGTGGTACTGCTTCTACAAACAGCTGTCGGGGACGCCATGCTGGTAGATACTTTTATTTCAGTCAAGCAATTTTGGCAGTCTTTGACCTTAAAATTCGCAGATATATCGTTGCTGGGCCATACATAATCGCTCAATGCGCATGATTGCTTTCTCCCTTGTCCTGTGGTGTGGAGGTATAGCCTGCGTTGTGGTTCTCCTTGTTTACCAGACAACGCTCCACTCAGAAGCCCTCGTAACCACCACCAAGATGTATCCATTTGGCGTGGGATTTTGGATGATAACAGTGACACTTAACATCACCACCACCAGTGCGTCTGAACTTCAAATTTGTCCCTGACGCATGTAAATTTACGCTATTCTCCGTAGCTCTTATTGTATGGCCAATATGGAGAGCCATCCGAGAGAATGAACAGCTCGGAATTCGTACTGGTTCCACCTCACATCCTCAGCACAACACTTTAAAGAATGTAATGCATATCATTATCGAATCCGGACTTCTGTATACCGTCCTGGCGTTTATGTCCTCCGTAGCGTACACTTCAAACAGCAATTCTCTATATGTTATTTCAGGCGCAGTATGTCACTTCCTTCCGAATTTTTGTGGGGGCAGTTATTTCTAACATTGTGATTTTAGGAGGTTGAAGTTTCTGGGATTGCGTTCAACCTCATCATTATCCGGACTGCAAAAATTACACACAAGAAACGGATACCTATTACTGGCGAGACCGCTCCAACGATACATTTCATGCCTCCCCAAGATACAATGCTATCTATGAATCCTACAAGTAACCACGACGCTGAACTAAAAAGTAGCGGAAATACTGGCGGTAACCTTCAGCTGGCAAGAAATTCACGGACACGCATGGGATAAGACTGTAGAAGGAGGCTTTTCGGTCGAGCAGAGAAGACGAGATTGACCAAGGCAGGCGGAAACTCGCAAAAATTACATACCAAACCGACCTATGTTGGATTAAACTGAGCGGAAAAGCCGTTGAAAGAGGAGGAGGGTGAGCAAACGATGAAGAGACTCGGAGAAAGAACTACTTAGTACTACTTCAATAATCACTCGTCTGTATTTCTAGACGTGTAATGCACATCAATCGGACATCTGTTCCTATCTACCAAGATGAGGAAGAGCGCCTGAACTAAGCTCGTTGTGACGGACAGCTAGATATAATACAGCCACGCTCATTTATTTTATCTTTCTTCTTAGATTCAGACTCGGTCTAATTAATAGATAGGCTCGGCTTTCTCTTCTACTTAGGACTATTTACATTCTAGCTAGCAGTACATATAAGGGGGCTCGTATTCGACTGCGAGCCCCCAAGTTCTACGAATAAGATACACCCTACGCCAGTCCGATATCTTGTTCGCTCCGAACTTCCCTTCGTCCCCCTTCCATGTGCCGCGACTGTGATCGACCTCACACTGGCGTCATACTTGTCCCGAATCGTATTTGTTGACAGTTTCTCGTCAAAATTCACTCAATATTGACTTTGACGACGTTTAGCTCTGTCACGTCCACTTGATTTATCACTCTGCGCTGTTGCTTTCTCCTTCATGAACCAAGACGGTATTCAAATACTCAGCTTGGGTGTTAGAGCTTGATAATGATATGATGACAAGAGGATGGTTGCACATGAAGGAAGCATTGACGTACATTCACGCCAAAGGAACTGACGCAGGTTGAACGAACGCCGCAGCCGAGGTTGCGATGCTTTGAGCACTATTCATATGGCTAGCCTAAGGAGAAGAACTGATGAAGCTATACTTTTGTTGCCCAACTGGCCGATGTGTTCTCTCTAAAACTGCAGGACGCATCTGTGGTTGGACATACTTCGTAAGTCGCCCGTATTTCTCTTGCACCCTCCGTTGTTTATGTAAAGCCGTGCTCTCGATAGGGCCGCCTGCTTCGTGTACGAAAATCAGATACGCCATCTAAAATATCATGCAATCCTTCTCGTAATAAATTTCCTCATCATGCCTTCAACTTCACCTGGTGACAACTATGCACGCTATGATCTGGCTCTGCGCCACAGAATGAGTACTGTACGATCACTCCTGGCGTAGGCTTATTTACGACAATCTGAGCTATTTTTAGATTTATCCTATATCTAAAAAAGGAACTTTTGACCCTAGTGAACACTTTGCGTAACGCGTAACAACC